CGCGGGAAGGGCCACCCCTGCGTCCGCGCCTCGGCCGGCGGCGCGGGGAGGGAGGGGAGGAGAGGGGGGTCTCCGGTTCCCGAGGTGAATTACAGCAGGCTGCGGTGGTCACCCCGCCTTCCACCCGGCCCGGAGCTTCCTGCTGTGCCCCGCCAGGTTTCACACGTGAAATGCGCAGGAGGAAGTGGACAGGAATCGAACCAGGTTAAAAAGTTTCGAGGCACCGCTTGACTAACGGCCACCTCTTTGGGAACACTACTTCATGGGAGTTCTGTTAGCTAACGTAAACTGTGTCTTACCATGAACGCTTTGCAGCTCTGCTTATTGGGGAGAGATCATTTCTTGCCTAGTCTTTCCCTCGTCACAGAGTGGCTGAGGTTGGCAGGACCTCTGGAGGTCATCTGGCCCAAACCCTGCTCAGGCAAGGCCGCCTGGAGCCGGCGGTCCAGGAACACGGCCACTTGGGTTTGAATATCTCCAAGGGTGGAGACTTCATGACCTCCCTGAGCAGACTGCTCAGGTGTTTGACCACTCTCACAACGAAAACATGTTTCCTTACGTTTGAGTGGAATTTTCCTCTGTTTCAGTTTGTGCCCGTTGCCTCTCGTCCTGTCCCAGGGAACCACTGAGAAGAGCTTCTCTGTCGTCTTCGTTCCCCCCCATCGGGTACTTACGGACATGGATAAGATCCCTCCGACCCTTCTCTTCCACAGGCTGAACGGTCCCAGCTTTCGCAGCCTCCGCTCGTAGTAGTCGGTCTGCTATCTGAGATGCCGGTGTCTTTACACCGGTTTTCTCTCTTGAAGTCTACTAAGCGGAAGGGAGAATGCTAATAAAATCTATGACTGTTTATTTATTGAACAATTACAGCCTTTCGCACAGTTAAACTTGACAATTTGAAATGTCTTCTCTGTGAATCTGTTACATAAATCCACAATAACCAGGATCTTCCAAGGCTGTAGAGTTACTGTATCTGAGGTGGCTGTTGGTAGCTGACAGTCCCGTTCACCGCTAGGTCGTTTGTTCAACAGAGTGTCATGACTACTCAGCAAATAATTGCTGTTTAATAGCATCGGTCTCGTTCTCACTGGAAAGGATGGCTTTATGTTTATTGGATATGTGCTCTATAAAAATTCAGGGCAAAAGAGCACAGGAGCTGAGTTGTACCCCTGAGGAAATACAGAATATTGATATGAAATCTCTATTCAGAAAGGATGAAATACACCCAGTTAAACACAGTGTTCTTCAAGTATACCCAGCACCGGGTATGTCTTTAGACCAGAATTAACAACCTGAAGCTGTGTATAGCTTACTCTATACCCAAAAATATTGCCTTCGGTTCAAGAAACTACATGAATGATTTGTATGTTGACCATCTTACTCATGCTACTTGAATATTCATACTGTTGTATTAAAATTGTGTTCTCCTTTAAAATGAGTTACAGAAAAATGCAACAGAAACTGAAAGGCAATCTTAAGTTTTTTCACATAATATTTTGCTCATAGTCAGGACTCAGCCTCCTCCCAGATACAAAGACTCCAGGTCTGCGGGGCCTCGTGCTTCAAGGAAACTAGCTATAGCCAAGCAAAAGTTTTCCAGGTTTCACTAGCTATTTGATGGCAGGGTCAGATGATGTTGACTTCAAAAGCAACACATTAAGGATACATTTGGCTTTAAGTGCCACCTTTATTTCTTCCCATCAGCAAATCTGGTTATCTAGAATATAACACAGAACCTCAGTTATACTGGTACTATTATTAGTTTGTGCCCTTATCTTTGTGGACATAACCTTGAGTAGAAGAGAAGAACAACCACACCTGTGTCCACATCTATGATCAGGACATGTCTTTCCCCAGCATGCTTTTACATTTAAAATAGAAAAAGTTATACTGGACCTTAAGTTTGTGATATGGAGAAGGTAGGTTGGAAAAAGGGTATTTTATAAACCTAACAAATACTTATGGGGCTTCTCTGGAAATGGTATTCTGCATAGA